CGTGGACCCGCGCCGGGGTGGGGCCAGCCACAGCTTCTCTGGCCAACCTGTGCCAGGGCCTCACGACACTCACAGGGAACAACTTCTTCCTAAGATCTCATCTCAGTTTCCCTGTCAGTTTAAAGCCATTCCCCTGTTCTGTCCCTACAGGCCCTTGTCAGAAGCCTCTCTCCAGCTTTATTGTCAGTCCCTTCAAGCATTAGAAGCTGCTCTAAGGCCTCCCCAGAGCCTTCTCTTCTCCAGGCTGAACAAGCACAGCTCTCTCAGCCTGTCTTCTGTAGGAGAGGTTCTCCAGCTCTCAGAGCATCTTCATGGCCTCTTCTGGACTCGCTCCAACTGTTCCACATCCTTCTTATGTTGGGGCCCTAGAGCTGGATACAGTAGTCCAGGTGGGGTCTCATCGAAGCAGAGTAGAGGGGGAGAATCCCCTCCCTCGACCTGCTGGTCATGCTGCTGGTGATGCAGCTCAGGACATGGTTGGTTTCTGGGCTCATGCACACACTGCTGGGTCATGTTGAGCTTCTCATTGACCATCACCCCCAAGTCCTTCTCATCAGGGCTGTTCTCAATCCAGTCTCCACTCAGTCTGTATTTGTGCTTGAGATTGCCCCAACCCACTTGCCCCAATCTAGGACCTCACACTTGGCCTTACTGAATTTCATGAAGTTTGCGCACACCCACCTCTCAAGCCTGCCAATGACTTATTTAACTTGTGAAACTGGAAGGTGAGGCTTGGAAGAGGACATTCTGCTTCTCACCTCCCTTGATTTTTCTAGTTCTCCCCAAAAAAGTTTAAGAACTCGGATTCAAGCCGTGCAGATCTCAGCTGAAACCACACTTGTGTGTAGAGCAGACATGACTATGTCTTTGACAAGAGCCTTATGGGTGTTGTAAAAAGAATTCACACCACCCATATACGCTTTGGGCTTTTTCGCTACCAAAAGAAATTTGGTACATTTGGTACACTGGAAAAGTCAGGAAGCAAGAGAGAGGAGGAAAAGTAAAACCAGGAGCAGCGTACCACTGCATGCCATGGTGGATTCAGCAGGCACTGGTATATTCTGAACAACAGGTAGGAGTTTGCATTCCCTCTGTAATAGCAGTCACACGTCTGGTAATCATAAACTCAACAGGGCAGATTTTCCACAACAGCATTAGGAAACACCAGCAAAGGTGCAACTTTAAAATGTACTAAGCAGGTTTGGTATACAGACAAAAAATTACGTGAATCCTGGAGGAAGGGGAAAGGAGAAGTATTCCTGAAAATATGGGACGTTTTCAACTCTGGAAAAGCTCCATCTTCATTTATGGATCAGTTCAGGAACTGCCTTATAGACGAGGGTCAACTGATGACAACACTGGTTGGATATTGATGTACCCTAGTAGGGTACGGAATCAAACCCAGCTGCATCAGGTGGCATAATGAAAACATCTGAAGCGCCATGCAGTGATACTGGAGCTTTTTCAGCCAGTATCCTAAAAAGTCATCCCATCTTTAAGGTTACTGTATTTCAGAACCAAACAAAATGATCCTAATAGATGGCTTTTACAAGGCAGTTTGAAATAATCTTAAAATAAGCAATGATACAGTAAATAAGTTTGCCTGCAATTTATTAAATTAGTGGTTGGAACCATGGTATCATAACAGCTTTTAGTACAACAGCCACAGTAGCTGAAGAGTCCATTACAACTTGCATGACCTTCCATATTTATCTCTTTATATACTCTATTTTTTCCATGTTGTGCAAGAGGAATTAAGAAAAAGCATTTCCCACTTCTTCAAGAGCCTTTATTTCCATATAATTTTTTCCATCAGATTTCAATTTAAGAAATCAGTTTTTGATGGCTGTCAGTTTTCCAGCCCTTTCAAATACCATCTGATCCTAAACCCCACTGAAACAAAGATGTGAACCTGGTGTTATAACACAGGTCAAATAAAATTTCCTGGTCCCACCATCAGGTTTAGGGCAGCTGTGCTGACACTTAAGGACCCCTTGGAGACAGGCCATTAAGCTCAGTAGTGTCCCTGGGAACCAGCACGGCTGCTCTTGCAGAGCTTCTGAAAAGCCAACTGAAGTATAAAAAATAAAATGTGAAAGGTTTAAAGTGCATGTACTAAGCTCATAAGCCAAAATTGGCCTCAAATACAAAAGCTCAAAATAATCTCCTGTACAGACAGACAATGGAAATTTTACATTTTAAGTTGCCAGTAGATTTTCAGGAGATTAACATTCCCTTGAAGGTTAGAACTGGAATGTTATG